AAATACTAGGTTCTCCAAAAAGTAAATTCTGAATACAATAAACACTGATATTCCAATTCGATTTACTAATCTCCAAATAACTCAAAACTCTTGCAAAACTAGATACAACCTCTTGTCTAAGCATGGCAGTATAGGTCTGATATAGAAATAGTCTTGTAGAGTCTCGCAGGGATCTATATTAAAACTTCTAGAGTTTGTCATTGATATATACTGTATTTAAAATTTCAGCTTTGAAAAATTAGTTTTAGCTTTTACTCAACATCAATGCTGTCTATAAATTGAAATTATGCACTTTTCTGCATTCGAATACGAAAAACTATAAAGGTTTCACTTTGAAATATACAGAATGAATGATTACGGACACTGATGAGTGTTTTGTATTGTTTTTTCCCAGGGAGCAATGATGTCCATCTGTTTCAAAGAAGGTATCAAAATCCCTCCTGCTGCCCTTTCGGAAATAATCACAGGTACCGGATGCGACATTCGGCAGACTTTGAACCACTTGGCTATGTGGTCAGCGGACGAGAAAAATCTGTCTTTGGACACTGTTCAGAAAGAGACGAAATCTTCGAAGAAAGATACGATTTTGGGACCGTGGGAGGTTATCAAGATGGTTTTCAGCCAGTCCGAACACAAAGATATGACTGTAGCCGATAGATCCAGGCTGTTCTTTTACGATTACAGTTTAGGGCCGCTGTTTGTACAGGAGAATTATTTGAACGTAACCACTAATTGTCCAAGGCAAGTGTTTACCATGAATTTTTTATGTAATTGTAACTCTAATCTATTTTTAGAAAAGACATTATGAAGCGAGTGGCTCTTGCCGCTGACGCTATCAGCATGGGAGATTTGATAGATTCCAAAATAAGAGGTTCGAATAATTGGTCCCTTCTGGAAAGTCAGGCCATATATTCGTCAGTGCTTCCGGGATTTTACATGTCCGGATCTATTAGTGGCAGAATTAATTTTCCGGGCTGGTTAGGAAAGAATTCGTCTGCCAATAAACACAAGAGGATGCTCAGCGAGCTACAAGTTCACACCAGAATAAGGTAAGGTCAATTTTTTGTTTAATTTCTTCCTTAACCTCAAATTTTCATTTTATTTGATTCGTTAAATGTAGTATTTTTTTTTATGCCGTCCGTTTTAATGATTATTCTTTAATTATAATGATCTATTGACATTAGACCTAAAATAAATTTTCACCGCTTGAAAATTTGATGTCAAAAGGTATAAAAAAAATTTCAATGTACACGTGTATGCTGTCTATTCTAAAAAATAAGGTGGTTTTTCATATTTTTCAAAAAATATTTATTTATCAAATTCTATTTTGTCCATTTCAAAGTCTTCCACCTCAAATTAAATACACTTGTGCCAGCGTTTTTTTCCAATCCTCAAAACAGTTTTGATATGCACTTTTTGGTAGGTATGTCCTTGAGCTCTCTTAGCGATTCAGTTTTCATATTCTCAATCGTCGCAAAACGCCACCCTTTCATGAGTCTCTTCAATCTTGGGAACAGGAGAAACTCACAGGGGACCAAATCTGGTGAATACGGTGGCTAAGGCATGATTACGGTGTTGTGTTTGGCAAAAAAATTAAGAACAAGCAATGACAAGTGAGCAGGTGCATTATTGTGATATAAAAGCCATAAATTGTTTTTCCAGAATACCGGACATTTTTTTTCATATTGCTTGAATTTGGTGAGCTTTTTTTGTCTTGGCACTCCTGGGCTCTACTATTGGAACAATTAGACTTTGGTTTCGATGTCATAACCATATACCCATGATTCGTAACCAGTTATGACCCTTTTAAGCAAATCTGAATCGCCCTTGACATCATTTAACAATTCCTGAGCAATGCTCATGCGACGTCTTTTTTGGTCAAATTTCAGCAATTTTGAAACGAACTTCACTGCCACACGCTTCATGCTCAAAATTTTGGGAAAAATTGCCAAATGGTATGCCAACATCCTCAGTAAGCACGCGAAATTTGAACATTCACCTTATTTTTTTTTAATTAACACGCTTTTTTTATTATTATTAACTTCACCTGTATGTTTGTTTGTTTGTAACTCTTCTTTTCATTTCATATTTATTCCCGTTTGAATGCTCGGGATCTGTATTTGTCAGAATTATCGACATTATTGCTTGATCTATTCGCGGGCAGATGGCGCTGTACTTAATCTCCTTGATATATCGACATTATTACTTGATCTATTCGCGGGCAGATGATGCTGTATGTAACCTCTTTGATATATTTCGAACTCACTTTACATGTATTTCTCCATTTGAAAAAAGTNTCCTTCGTATTACAGAGCCCGAAAGCAAGGTCTAATAGACTCTTGATGATTCCTTTTTTTTTTGCTTAAAATAATTGATATTTTCAACTATTCATTTTAATTTTATTTATTATTTAATAGATTTCAAATCATATTAGACAATGGAAATCCGAACTAGTAAAATTCACCATGAAATTTGTCGACCACTTTCAAACAATAAAAAAGCTCTCGTAAACACAAAATTATAGTCTGTTCACCTAACAGATGCAGTTGTGAAAGAGCTTGGTTTTTCACAGGTCCAGTATTATTGGTCGACAGATTTTAGCCTTCTAACTGTTTTCACTCAGGCAAACAAATTTTATCTGCTGTTTTTAATTTAGTCAACTTACATTTTCACCCTTACTTGTGACGTTATGTTTGTATATTTTCCATTAATTTCTATCAAAAACTACTAAACAGATGGTGGTGCGACAATTTTTGTGTATATTCAAAGTAACTGGCAAATTGGTTCTGAATGTTAGGTTTCAGTGTTATTGTGTAATCTGGACGTTAACTTTGTAGGCACAAAAAGAGTACAAGAATACTCCATCTATTCGGTAAACGGACTGTAGCTAATATTACATGCCTAATTTTTTTTCAGGTATACTACATGAGGAATCCAGCATGTTATTTTTCAAGTGTCATATTTTGTTTTTTCAAATAATCAAATCATCTGTATATTAGTAACAAATTCCTATTCATATCGAATTTTAGTACTTCTGGGAACAAGATGGCTATGAAACTGGACTATTTACTACCCCTGCGAAACGCCATAATACTTCCTTTGAAAAAATATGGTACAGATGGAATACATCAAGCTATCCAAGTAATGAAAGCCTACAATCTGCTGAGAGAAGATTTGACGAATCTCATTGAACTTTGTCAGTGGAAAGACGCTAAGAACCCCTTCAACGATATCGACGCCAAGGTGAGAAATCTTCGATTCTTCTTCTGGCATGCTTGATGATTGTCGTTTTAGGTCAAATCCGCTTTTACGAGGGCTTACAACAAAGAAACCCCTCTGTTGCCTTTTGCTCCAGGAGCTGGATTTTCAAAGAAGAAAATGAGCAGCGAAGAGGCCGATTTGTTGGATACTGAGGATTTTGAAGAGTCTGACACCGAGGAGAAAGACGATGTCACTGCTGATACTATGATTAAGGTAATGGTTAGTTTGTTTTGCTGGTTGTAGGGAATGTTTTTTCGGTTCGTATTTTTCTATCGTTTTGATCATTACCAGTAAAAATTCATTTTCTGATTTGAACAGTGTTTGTATTTGTCAGTGTTTTGATCTTTTTATAATTTTTAATTTTTTTCCAGGTCAAAACTAAAGCAGATAAGAGTAAGAAAGAGAGCGCCAAAGCCAGTACTAGCAAGGGAAAAGAAACTTCAAAAGGCAAAACAAAAACAAAGAAGAAATAAATTGAAATCTCGTAATTGTTTATGCTATATTGAATCTTCAAGGAAACATTTTTGAACTGCTGATATTTTTGTCGTCTCATCTGTAATAATTTTATTTTTTTACAAAAACAATGTCGGTGTTTATTTCCGAAAACGTTGTACGTAGTTTACGTTTTGTTGCTTATTATATATTTTTTGTAATTTGTAGTTTTTTTAATAACATTATATATGTATTGAAAACACTGTTTCCTACACCAGACCAAAACTACTGTCTCTCGTCATCTCCTGATGATATGCAATATTCGTTAGCAAAATGCGCAGTATTTTTGTTCTGGTGTGTGAAAAGATTCATTTCATGCCAGAGGTTTCAAATTTTCAATGAATCACATATGGAATTCAATGTCCGCTGCGGATATTTTTGTGAATTCATAAATATTGTGTTTCAAAAGATGTTAATTTCTACAATTTTATCACAAAATATAAAATTGAAACAAATCTTAATATATATGGCTGCATCGGCAACACTGACAGAAGAGTCTCCAACCAGACTATGATCATGAGCTTGCTGTCCGTAAATCAGATCCAGCCTCATTCCTCTCCAAATACCATCGTCAAACAAGCCGCATGATAAGCTTCGAAAACACCAAAACCATTTGCCACTGAAAAACTCTCCAGGCCGGGATGAACCGCGAAACATTTGAAATTGAAAAATGTCCCAACTGCCTAAACAAACGAGATGATTCACAAAGATTACCTCATTCAAGATCATTAATGTCACGCCTACATTGCACACCTCGTTCCTGCAAGTTTATCCCCCTCCACTCGTCCACCAAACCCTTGCCTCTCCACCTACCATTTTGTAATTACGTGTGTCAGCTACCTGACAGAAAAACAACAACTAACCGTATAGGCAGCCTTGTCTACCTATTAAAAAACCTAATTAAATAGAGAAGTACTACCAGAACTGAATTTTTTTGATATCCAAAAAAAAGTTTTGACTTGACAATTGACGATTACCATTTATTGTTTTCAGTTTCGTATGGGCATCACCCCTCACTTCTGAATATTTAATATATGTACATACCTATTTCTGTGTTCCTTTATGCGGGTTTTGAACATTCTTCCAGTTTGACCTATATAAAACATCGGACATGACCCACATGATAATTTATACACTCCCGATTTTTCTGAAACCGAACTTTGTTATCTTTGTTCGTATTAATGTGCGTGCCTAAGTTGTCATTCCTGAAAATAAAGCTATATTCTATTCTATTCTTATAATCCAACGCCAATTCCGATTTTCAATTATGTAATATCATTGACTTTAGGTCGATGATGGCCATCATCTTACACTGACGAGTGGCTAATGAGCTCGAAACCAGTCTGCAAGTGTGCCCGTTCCAAAATTGATGGCCGATTCTTGTAATGCCAATTGCATTTGCAGGAAATTTTCTGTGAAGATTCCTGCACTGACGCCTGTCGGATATAATCCAACGCCCTTCGTGGTATTAGCCAGGGGAGTAGTTATTTTCTAATAGGCGTCAGTCCATTCAACCCACTGTGTAAGTATATATCCGAGACTGGCTTTAACGTTTAAAGTTCATTTCTTTAGACTTGTGTACTGCCAGTCTTCAAGCATAGCCCAATGACTAATAAGAAAGTTATATATTTTAATGATTTAATAAATGTGAAACGGAAAAATGTTTCACTATACTTGCAGATGATACATTTTATTTGTGGGAATAATTTTCTTGATAAAATAGCTGGTATTATTTCTTAAATTCGGGAGTGGTGTAATGTAAATAATAGTTCAAAAACAAATATTTTGTCATTCAATTGTGAGTTGCTAGATATAATTTCAGCTTTCTGTGATTCTCAATTTCCAAAATCATGTCACTAATTTGAGATTACTTAGTCAAAAATTAAGACTCGTCATTCTGGAGGCATGCATGAAAGAGCAATTCAAAGGAATCATGTAACAAAAAAGTACTGAGTCAGAACCCTCTCAAAAAAAAAGTCCCGTTCGAAAATTCTCATAGAAACATTGACAAAATTCAGGTCTCCTATCTAAAAAATATTTTGGACGTCTCCGTTTGAGACACCCTGTATGTTGGATTAAGTATATAAACTGTACTTTTGATACTTTCTTCAAAATTCGTGACGCTTTATTTTCTAGAAATGTAATTTATATTTTTGTATTTATAGTATGTCAATGATTTTGTCAATAAGTTCAACTGATGGAAGTATAAACCTCTTAAAAAATTATGGTGAACACAAAGAAAAACTTCACAATAAATTAGTGAGTACACTAAATATAAAAGTGGGGCCATCTCAACTCAAAAATGATGAAAAGTGATTTAATTGATCAAACAAAGTGTAGTTTGATCAATACATGAGTATGCTTTTCAATCAGTGAATGTGATTTGGAGAAAAATTGTTGAATCGGTGAAAGGCAAGTGGTTCGAGTAAAAGTATTCGTTTGTTGAACATTTTGGTGGAAAATGGGAAACACAGAAAGCAATGTTACCAGCGGAGTCAAAAAACAGGCTGGAGCCTCAATGCAGCCTATCTACAAGCTTTGTGATTTGAAAGGTGCACATTAAACATCAATAATCCAAGCAATGGTAGTTTTGATGTAACTCTAGAAAAAATCTCCTAATATCAAATCAAATTGGACGCTTTCTCATGCTAATCAAAGACTGGCTATACTCTTTCGTAATATTTGTATCATTTTCAGGGGGTGGATTATTGGTCGAATTGATGAAACGAGCAACACAAAACAAACAGTACGCTGAAATTGATCATGCCATAAAAACTAAGGTGAGAATCTAAATTTCAAATTCAATTTTTTGTCTAAATAAATTGACCACAGCTTTTAGATTGTTATTCTTTTATTCACTTTACACCATGCTTTTTCAACTCGCATATTCTCTAACTCAATTTTTATAACTGGATTTAAAAATAAGCAATACTGTTCTAAGTTTTTCCAAATATTTCGATGGGTCTCTTGTTACTGTGGTTGGTGAAGGCCATCGTTGTGGACCGTATCGAAGAGCATGATAATTTTTTGATGTGAGAATTAGTGAAAAATATTTTCTGACCCTAAATTGTGAACCTTTGATTTCTGGCGAAGCCTTGGTACATATTTTATCATACCACAAGATATATTCATCTTCAGTCATTCGATTGGAACATCTTCTTGGTTGTTTGCTTCAATACCAACATTTTTCAATATTTTAAATGTATATTTTCATCTGCAATTAGTTTTCAAGTTGGGTGATATTATCATGCTCAATTTTGACTCAGGAAACTGAGGGGTTCACTTTGAAAAAGAAAGGGGTACAAACTACCACATGAGTTTTGAAATTAACTACTCGTATTTTCCGGTTTTTTTGGCCGTGGTCTGCAAGTTTTTATGTTCGACGATTCGTCTACTACTGCGGTAGACATTATCAAAGGCGATGGGGTGACATTCGAAGTGCTCCACTTGTTTTTTCAGTTATTCTCAACGCAGAAACTACAATGCTAGTATTTGACTCCGGTTTTATATTATTATAGGTGCAAGTGGCTTGGTTTTTCTCAATTAGATTGCCTGGCCTTGTTTGTGTACAATTAAAGACAGGTAGCCAGATTTTAATAATGTTCATTGCCTCTTCTTTCCTATTGAAATTATTCCTATGTTTTTAAATTTCTGTTGCCCCTACACCAGTTGGATGCCGGAAAGACGCATACTTACCTCGGGTTGGAACAACGACACCACTTACAAGAGGTAACAGCAGTGAAGAACTCTCTCCGCGGCAAGTATCAGCACAAACTTCGACAGATCTGGTCATCGGAACTATCGAGGAAGAACAAAGTTGCTGCAACAAATATGCTTGCCGTTCCAATCTTACTCTACTCGTTTGGATAAGGGAAGTGGACCCGGGAGGAGCTGTATCAACTCGACGTTAAGTCCCGAAAATATATGCATTTCTATAGGAGTTTGCATCCCAAATCGTCCGTTCCACGGTTGTACTTCCCCCGTTCATCAAAAGCCGCAGAGATCACCTCACGTCTGCGGCAACACAAGTATAAGCCAATGCATGGGGTCTTCTTCAATAACATTGAAGACCTTCGCTTATCAAAGCGCCTGACTTTCGCTTTCCTCAGGTCGAGTGGGCTGAAGTTGGAAACTGAGGGGTTCATCATGGCATGCCAGGATGGTGTCTTCAACACCTTAGTCTACCGCAGTCGCGTGATGGGTATAGAGGTTCCTGACACTTGCTATCAGCATGTCCAGCATATGCGGTCTCGGCCTATATCCATCGACATAACGCGGCCCTAAGAGTGCTATATTACCATCTACGGCACTCTTACGGTATTGACGAGACACCGGTGTTGCCCTACGCTCCGGGTGATATTGAATCTGTTGTGGGGAACGAGAAGTGCCGAATTTATTGGAAGTATTCGTTCCCCACCCTCAGTTTTCGGCTCCTGGCGAGACGAATATCGTCCGAAAAGGGGAGAAAAAACGGATAAAATATCGAGATTTTCTCTTCGAACACCGCAGACTCTATCCAGGCTATGCTTTCAGGATAGTTGTTCTGGATATTGAATTATTTGGAGCAATATGATGCCTTCTCTACTCTCGAATCTTAAAATCATACCGGTTTGTCGCCATTCTTGGCTCACTGCCCTTACTCAGGGCACATGATTCTCGGACCCAATGAGCACTTACCCCACGGTGTGGGGAATAGTCATTGGTTGATAATACTGGCGCGCCCTCCCGAATGTATCGGGGCTTCGGGGAATAGGGCCTGACTAGCGCACACTACGGTGAAAAATAATAATAATAATAACAATAATGGGTCTTTATATTATTGTAAGTAGCATTCTGATGCTACTTACAATAAATATGTGTGAACATCACTGAAACGGTAAAGGCTGGAGATAAATTAGTTGTACCAACAGATGCAACCTTTGTTTTTCTACTTAAGCCATGATCTCAAATAAGAAGGCAATCACATTATTTCGTTCAAAGATACAGTAACACACGATAAAACTCAAAATAATTATCCAAGAGTATACAGAGAGGCGATAGAAATTCAAAAACACAGGGTTAATTTCACTAGAAAAGAAGAGGCAATGAACATTAATAAAATCTAGTTACCTGTCCTCAATTGTACACAAATAAGTTCAGGTAATCCAATTGAGAGAAACCAAGCCACGCCCTTCTATAATTATATACAATAGGAGTCGAATAGCAGCATTCAAGGGAACAACAACTCATGCATTATTAACTCTAGCACTTTGACCGTTACCTCATCGCCTTTGAATTGTCCACCGCAGTAGTAGACAAAAGGTCAGGCATGAAAACCTGCATACTACGGCAAAAAACCCGGAAAATAGCTTTGACAAACCCTTCATGATTTCATGTAGTGGTCTCTTATTCCTTTATATTAAAATCACTTCCATTTAGTTAATCGAACAGTTGTCGTATTTGGGGTCTGTCACACATTAAATAACGAATAGAAAATTGTTTTTAAAAAATGAATTGTTTCTTCTGATATCGTATTTTATGTAGGTCGAACATTTTTTATATAATAAAGGAGCAGGGAAATACANTTTTTGAAAAATGAATTGTTCCTTCTGATATCGTATTTTATGTAGGTCGAACATTTTTTATATAATAAAGGAGCAGGAAAATACATTCCAATATCTCAGCTCGTATTACTCAGGAATAAGGAAAGACCACGACACAAACTGGTGAGATATTTCTCTTAATTTAACATAAGTGCAACATTTTTTCTGAATTTATATTTTCAGCTGCCACTTCTGAAAGGAATGGAAAATCCCGACGATTTTGAAATACACGATGATTTTCCTGACGTGACCGAAGATGAATATCAGAAAAGTATGTATTTTCTATACCTACTTACTTTTTAATCCTCAAAAAATTGATCAGACTAGTATTTTCGTTTTGTTATAGATCCGCATTCATACCGACACGTTTGTTGGAAATTGAAGGAAAGAGGGGCAGTTGGTGAAACAATTCTTCATCTTTGTCTTCTAAACGCTACATCTTTACACGCTGATATTGCCAAAAGATTACTAAGATTTTATCCAAAACTAATTAATGATATATACATATCAGATGAGTATTATGGTAGGTTGTAGCAATGGGTTGAAAATGCACTTTCGCAGTTATTTTTCAACTTGTTTTCCCATTCCACACAGGAGAAAATGTTCTTCACATCGCTATCGTGAATGAAGACCCATCCATGGTTAGGTTTCTGCTTGATGCACACGTAAACATCCATGAACGCTGTTTCGGAAATTTCATGTGCCCAGAAGATCAGAAATCCTCGAGATCAGACTCTCTCGATCACGAATGGGTGAACGTATGTTCCCAAACCAACTATGAAGGGTAAAATAACATACATTCTGGCAAGAAAGTACCGGGAATCGATCATTTTAAAAGACCACGTAAAGGGATTGTCCAAAATATTTTTGTCGCTAGGTTGGCATAACTGTCCTCTATAGATACTCGCGCGGAGTTTGAGTGCCAACTGACAATGTTGCACGAGACTTACGTGCATATGAGTGGTACAGTGCATTTAAAGGAGGTCGAGATGTGGTGGAAAATTTGCCTCGCTCTTCTTTTTATCTTTATACTTAACATCGCTAAAGTAAACAAAATGGTTTCTGAAAATCGTCGTTCAAGTCTGAGAGAGATAGCCGCTGAAATTTCTACGTCTCACAAAACGGTTCACACCATTTTAAACGATTTTTAGACATGAAGCGAGTTACAACTCGGCATTAGTGTGAAATTTTCCACAAATATTCATCCACAACTTCTGATGTAGAGACAACCTATGGTGGGATAGAACTACATTATTGCGCAGTGTTGCCAAGTCTCTGAGAATTCTACTTGCATAAGAATTTCAATATAAGAAATCTTGCAAAATAATTTCAACACGAGTTCACCAATTCTTACCATACTAAAAAAAAAATTCATCAAAAGTCTGTAAAAATTGAAATAACTGATGATACTATGATTGGTGGATCCTATATGTCTCAAGCTGTTTTTTCTCGATATCTAATGCAAAATAATAATCAATATATACATAGTTGGTAAGACAAAAATAATGTAAAAGAGTGGATTGTGAATTATAGAAAATAATTTTTTCTCTGTAATCTTAAAGTGCTTGTTCACGAGACCTGACTTGAATTATAATTCATTATCAATAGTCATAGTATAATTCACGATCCACTATTTTCCATTATTTTCCATCAAAAATTGTTTTCCACAAATTTTCGTTTCAACCTCGTATAAGTATTGATAATGAATCATAATTTAAGCCAGGTCTCGTGAAAAAGCACTCTGAGATTACTGAGAAAAAAATATTTTTTATAATTCACGATCCACTATTTTCCATTAGTTTCCATCAAAAATTGTTTTTCATAAATTTTCATTTCAACCTCGTATGAGTATTGATAATGAATCATAATTTAAGCCAGGTCTCGTGAACAAGCACTCTGAGATTACTGAGAAAAAATATTTTTATTAATTCACTATCCACTATTTTCCATTATTTTCCATCAAAAATCGTTTTCCACGAATTTTCGTTTCAACCTCGTATAAGTATTGATAATGAATTATCCGTGTTAGAAATCACACGTTAAAAGGTAAGACCTCGTTAATCCTTAGCTCGCACAAGTTTCGACTTCTGAGGGATGTCGTTCATAGGGGTGCGACAGGTGGTTAACGGAAAAAACAGATTTTATTTCTGACCGGGATATTATAAGCTTATATCGTCATAGTTACGCTATCAATAAAGAGGGTCATAACTCCCTTGGGAAATTATAAATTTTATAATTCCCTCTACCTTTCACAAGTAAAAATAAATAGAAATGAAAACTGAACCATATTTTATTTACCAGAGGCCCTCGGGACGCAAACTTTGCCATCGGTAATTAAGGCCATCCTAATTCCCTTGATACATAAATAACTATTAAACAGATGATTACATTATTTTTTTTACTCTAGTAAGAATTGATGAACTCGTGTTGCAATATTTCTTATATTGAAATTCTTATGCAAGTAGAACTCTTAGACACTTGGCAACACTGCGCAATAATGTAGTTCTCTCCCACCATTGGTTGTCTCTACCCCAGAAGTTGTGGATGAAAATTATAGATAACTTCACACTAATCAACTTGGCTATAGCTGAAAGACCTGAGTTTTCTGTAAAAACTCAATCGCGTGAAGTTCGTGGAAGACATGTTAGAACGAGTCAATTCCGACCTCACATTTATAAAACGATTGTAACTGGTGATGAGACATGGATTCACGTATATCAACAAATTAGTGAACAAGCTTCGTAACGGCTCCTTCCAAGTGAGTTGAAACCAAAAAAAGTTCGTCAAAGTCGTTCAAAGGTGAAGGGAATGTCAGTTTTTTTTTTTCGATTATCAAGAAGTTGCACAATTGGAATTCTTGCCGTAAGTTGCCGTAAGTAAAAAAGAATAGTATCTGAGCGTCATGCGGCGTTGGCGTAAGTGTATTGTTAAAGCCGAAACAATAAATTTGAATGACTAAGAATACATATTTTGGGTTTCATTGAACAATTCCCAGTACTTTTTTGACATAGTAGTAGGTACAATTTTTTTTTCAAAATTTGCTAAACAAATTTGGTATGATTCAGTTATGTGTACTGGGGAGAGTATCCATTGACTTTTGCCGCTTGCTTGGGACAAGAGGAGATTTTTCGATTGATACTCTCGAGAGGTGCTGATCCAGATGCTCAAGACACTAACGGAAACACCGTGTTACACCTTCTCGTCATATATCAGAGATCTGTGAGTATTTTGCAAATCATTCAAGTGCTTAGAATTCCTTCAATGAGTTCATTATAAGAAAAACTCTTATAATTTTCGTTCACTCTCACTCATTTCTACTATAAAAAAATTATAAAGGAACTATTGAAATGATTAATAATTTCTTTTAATAAACACATCATAATCTCAATATATAGTATATACGAAGTCAATTCGAATAGCATAAAAACTAAATAGTTATCGAACGTCGGCAGTTTCTTTGTATGGCATGGGCGGCGTGGTATAATATAATGATATATGGTGTAATTTTATTTTTCATTAACCTGTACAGATTTTTTTATTAGTAATATAAAGAGTAATGTCATTAGTTTTTTATTTAGCTGTTCGGATTGACTTCGTTTAGATTATACAAAATGGCGTTTCAAAAACAACAGATATACACAAAGGATGTCATTTTTCCTTTTTTGCATGAGGTATACTCTGCAGTCAATGGTGATGAAATTGCAGCAACAGTATTTTGTTTCCTCTCTAAAGGATTTGATTTTGCGGACTATGAAATTTTGCTGCATAAACTTCACCGTATTATGAAATAAGAGAAACGAGTCTGAAAAAGTTCAAACAATAAAATTGTTAAAACTTCAGCTGTTTATTGGAAGAAGCGTGCCTCGGGGTTGAATTCTTGGTCCTATTTTTTTAAATGTATGTTTAATGACCTAGATAACATCACCATTAATGTAAATCTACATTATTTACTGGTGGCACAACCAGTGGAATTGATATGCAGCACAATAAAATAAAAAAACATTAGGTTCAATGAAATGTTTTTTATTTAACTAAAATGTTTTCTATTACGTCGAATTGATTGGATATGGCACTGATACCGTTTTTAAAGGAACAATTTGACATGGCCTATGAAGTTGGTTCCAGTTTAGCCATCAGGAATGTGTTAAATTTAACCCCTCTCACTTTAGCTGCAAAGTTAGCCCGGATAGATATGTTTTTTCACATTTTGAACTTGGAAAGAGAAATTTACTGGCAGATAGGTAAGTTTGAGCATGTATAGGTTAGGTATACAAGTGTAAAGCTATGAGGTGAATTTTTCCTCACCAAGTTTATCACCATTGGATAATTTATTAGAAAGTATATATTCCTATGTATTTTTTATTAAAACATATTTCAAGAGATATGTCTATCCTTACATTCAATAATTGATAATGGGATTATATTTCAGGCAGTATAACTTGTGCAGCATATCCTCTTTCACAGATAGACACTATTGACATGGAAACAGGACATATCTGTAAAATCTCTGCTTTGAATTTAGTAGTGTTCGGTGTATGTACAATATAGAGCGAGTGTATTTTTTATAATGATCTCGTTTTAGGATAAAGACGAGCATTTAGAGTTGATGGATGGAGTTCTCATAGATCTGCTGAATGCGAAGTGGAATACTTTCGTAAAGTTCAAATTTTATCGACAATTTTTTACATTTGCTTTCTACTTTCTTATATCTTTGATAGCTTTCACGTTAAGACCTGGTCCCCATCCGGATGTCACCAAAGTTGCTAAAAATGCAACCAACTCTACTCACCATTTGAGTAACAGTACGGCCAATAACACCACGGGCAAATTGAGTTTCAATATAAATGCCACATTGAAAACACTGATCGATAAAGGTAAGTGAAATTATTGCTCAATTATCTTATTATTAATTTTTTCTCGAGGCAGACCTTCCGTAACCCTGTTATACTCTCGTTCATTGGTTTTTTAAATATTTATTTTCACACACCATCTGAATATATCTTTCAGTGTCGCACTGATAACCTTGAACGCATATTCATAGTTTATAGCAGTCCATCATCCATTACTACCTATATACGATTATATAAAAGAATGATAGAGGTCCAAGGGCGCTTCCTTGTGGTACACAGAAAAGATTGATAGTGCTCCTCATAGATTTCTCATAAATATCTGTTTTACTTTAATCTACTTATAGGTAATACTGATGATGATGACGATTACGATATGGAAGAATGGTGGGATAATTTGCGAGAGGAATGTCGATTGATGCAACTAGAAACTCTCGAATCGAAAATTCGGCTCAGCGCTGAAATTGCGATGACTGTAGGAGCTTTCCTTTATCTCGCTGCAGCAATTCGAGAAGCGAGATTTTTGGGTGGCAGGATGTTTTTTGAAAATCTGGTGAGTTTTTTTTTCAAAAACGGTTCGATGCGATGTTAATTATTATAAGATTTCCGTTTCACACGATGAATCGCCTAATGTCAATTGATAATTGGTACAACAATAACTGACAAGCCTGATATAAAAACTACATTTCATTCATAAGGTGTGTGACCAAACATGTAACATTTTTATCAACTTGGCGTAATCTTGAGATCGATATATAATGTAATTATTTGAATATTAGGGCTCTGTTACAATGTTTGTTGTAATTTGATTGCCACTGCAAAATTTTCGAAGAAAAATGAATGTAGAAGGCAAACGACTTGGGGTTTCAGGAACTTTTTTAAGTTAGTGTTTTTTCATTTATCGACCAGTAATTTTTTCCCTAAATCAAAAGTTTTATTATTTTCAGAAAACATCTCCGTCTCGAGTGATGTTCCTATTTTCATGTATATTAATGTTGGTCATCCCGTGGCTCAGGTTAGCTTGTCAAGAGGAAATCGAAGACACAGTCGCCGTTATGGTCATGTTGACTACAGCTCCATATTTTTTATTTTTTTGCAGGTAAAATCATATTTCTCTCAGATACAATGTTAATAATAAAGTTGATGGGATCAGTTTTCGTCTTAGTAGTGAAAAAACGCGTGGCTATGAAAATGATTCGTAAATATAACATTGTGCTAGTATCTTCTGTTTTCTGTTTACGGCGGTACTCAGGCCGGAGCATTAAATGTTTTCCCAGCAGGGTTGGCATTTTATAGTAACGAAAGCCAAGTATAGAATGAAATGATAAATTGTCATTGGAAAATCAACAATAAATCTTTTGAAATTATAATATTTTACCTAACTCAAGTTTAAATAGCGGACATATAATATATTCTGATGGTATAACAATACATTATTTTTAGGGGCTTCAAAACAGTGGGCCCTTTTGTGGTAATGATATATCGCATGGTGATGGGCGACCTCATCAGATTCGCCTCGATTTATTTGGTATTCGTGATAGGATTTTCTCAAGGTATGCATATCCACTTCTCCACCAAAGAGCTTACTCACACTTTTTCAGCTTTTTATATTATTTTCCTTTCTTTCGATAATCCTTTGACTCCTGAAGACGTCGATGATTCTGCTACAAATCCAATGTCGACACCGATCGAGTCGATCATGGCAATGTTCCTGATGTCAATGACTAATTTTGGAGATTATTATGATGCTTTTTCGAGGACAGAACATGAATACGAAGCCAAGGTAAGTTGAAATAGTGTATCTCATATACATGAGATGTATGTACAGCAATCGCCAAACATGATGGCGAGCCCGCCCCATTTGCACAAACTCAATTTCAATTTAATCCCCACTACAGCTTTTGTGAGACATACAAATGCTCAGTATAGTAGAGGCGTATCATTACTTGTCCTGCAATGCTGTTGATGTTTGGCATTGTTGGAATAATGTCACCGCCCAAGAAAAAAACCAGTCATCAAGAGTGTATCATTATAGAACATTTCGATGAACTGTACTAATACCTATAATAATCAATAAAATATGAAATGAAATTACAAAGAAGTCATGTTCCATTTGCTACCCTAATTAAAACTAATTATTGGTACGACACTGGCCGGCAAGGGGCTTATCGTAATCCAATAGAAATTTAGTTGGAAGAGTCTATACCTAGGCGATCGCTCGCCATCACGTTTGGCACTTGCTATATTTTAAGTGAATAAACAACGTAAAGGTCTTACTTGATAGTCTTGTGTGAATACAAATGTATTGAAAACATTTATGTATTCCTTAAAATTTATTGACTACCTACCATTAGCTCAATTATATAAATGTAATATGAACATTGATTAACTATATAATTTTTTTATTGACAACTGAAAGAAGAAAATATAAATATGTCCATATTGCACGTTTATATAATTTATCTCCTTTTCATTCCAATATTTTTTTCCAAGATCCTTTTCGTGATATTTATGGGGATTGTAGCCATTCTCCTGATCAACATGTTGATCGCCATGATGGGCAACACGTATCAGAAAATCGCTGAGACCCGTAATGAATGGCAACGACAGGTATGAATATTGTCGTTTATTTTCAAGTGAGCAACAATCCTTATTTATGTTTTCCCAGTGGGCAAGAATCGTTCTAGTTGTTGAAAGAGGAGTTAGTCCTCCTGAACGACACAAGCAATTGATGGTATATTCTCAGCCTATGTCGGATGGAAAGAGAGCACTAGTTCTTCGTTTGAATCAGTCGGTAAAAATCACAAATTTATTGATTTACCTAGTATTGACTTTCTCACATAAGTAAAGTTCGTCTCAAAACATGAGTGACAAACAGTGACAAAGATTCATCAATCTGTGTTGAGACTGTGGATGCGTATTTTCCAACTGATTCATGTTCTTTTATGTAGGATGAAGATAAGGAAGAGATGAAGGAAATATTGGAAATTAAAAGGAGGCACGAGCGGTACGTGAAGAAGAGGCGGGAACAGAATCTAGCAAAACATCCAAACAAGTGATTTTTTTCATTTCCTGTTCATAATGAAGATGATAATAAATGATAACAAGATCTCAATATCAAGTTTATCATTCTAGACCCCGTCAAACGGACAGCATATGGGAAATAATATATTATTGCCAAGCTATGTTGAATGCGCATTCACCGATGATTTTTTCATTGGCTTGCTTGCCTTTTGGTTGCTTATTTGTTCAACTTGGAAGTTGCTGCCTTTAGACGTTTTCTATCAGAATCTAAGAACTATTTTTGTCATGTTTTTTCGCGGTTTTATGAATAGCGACATCATTTATTGAATATATGTTGATATCACGTTTGCATTGAATATATTAAAGTTTCATAGGGTGATACAATATTTTGTAGTCGACCAATGGAGATCATATATGTTTCAAATGGACCTAGAGTAGATTCCATAGTTATAATATCTATGGTAGTTTCATTACTGGAAAATTCATGCTTATTAGACGTTGCCTAATGAATCCACACACTTTGTTGAAGATGTATCAAACTGCTTTCTCTAAAATACGAAAAATATTTTCATGTTGGTAATTGGCAACACCGCTATTAATAGTTGTCTTAGAGAACGCGCATGTAGGTTAAGTTCAATTCAAATATTTATGTTATGTATATTTTTGTGTTTTAAATTTATCACATTGTGTGTGTTTGAAATTTTTAACATTGTATTAAGTCTTTCATAGTATTTTTATAAAAATGAGTGAACATGGAGCTGCATTACAAACATATAATCAAGAACTAGTAAAATGTAATATTTCAGTTATTTGTTGTATTGATCAAAAATTACATTAGTTTTTTTGAGGTTTGGAGGATATAAAAAGAAAGAAAAATGAAATAGTTCATTGTCTCCATAGGGAAGAAGCAGAAAAACTAGTTTTAGAAAAAAACGTCAAGGTATTGCAAGACAAATTAAAAATTTTGAATCGAAATATAGATCACCACAAAAGCATATATGAACAGTATGATAAAATCATCAACGAAACTGAAAATGGATTTAGAAAGGTACGGGAATTCAGTGAATGTTGTTCTTAGTGAAATAAAATTCTGTTTAGATACTAGAAAGCAGCCAAACTCTACTACAAGTGGTTCAGCAACAAACTACTAGAATAGACTCGAGACACAATTCGATTTCAGGTGTAAATAAGTTGGAGCTTAAAGATACTATGAATTCTAACCCCGTTTTTGACAATTAGGTAGATACAATAATAAGTGAAGAAAAGAGAATTGAAACTTTCTATGTTTTTTACCACTTTTATTTGTAACTAACGTTACAGCTGTTTCGCCCTATAAGGACATTTTCAAACTTGTACATTAAACTAACAATGGTTGATTACATTAGCCCTTATATAGCAACCCTGTAGGTAATAATAGAGGTACTTGGCTGGATTGAGTACCTGAATTTTGACTAATTTGAAAACCGATTACTAAACTAAATTGATTTGATCATTTAACAGGTTGCACCCACAATGTTTAGGCTTGTGAATATCCAAGGATTCTAAATAAATGAGTTTTCAACCCTTCCTTGCATAGTGCAAAATTTCCGTATCGTTTAGATTCGGAAACTTGTGGTTGCATGCCAAGGAATGGTTTGAAAAGTTCGAATCATTTTTTCTCAGTCTGAAGGACCTTTCATGTTCAGCATATCAGTACAGGGGTGCTATATAAGGCCTAATGTAATCAACCATTGTTTAATGTTTAAGCTTGAAAATGTCCTTATAGGACAAAACTGCAGTAAAGTTAGTTAAAAATGAAAGTGGTAAGTTTCAATTCTCTTTTCTTCATTATGATCTCCTACCACGTAGTAACGGCTACATCCATGAATTTACATTAATAAGAATAAGCAGTTGAAACTTTCACTTTAAATTATTGAAATGATATAGTAAAAGTACACTCTGTGTATCTGAAAGCTCATATATTTAGTTTGTGACATTTTTCTGTATTATTAACATCGAATGTGATATTTGGCTTTCTATTTCTCAATTTATATCTTTACAAACATGGAAAACTCAATAGAAAAAAAATTGTTATGAAATTCAACTTATATTAAACCCCAACATCGCAAGGGTAACTGCTCTTTTTTCAGTTGAGTGAATGATTTGATGTTACCTGTTTAGATGTATAGAACCATGCCTGCATAAATATCTGTCTAGGAAGATTGTTTTTATCCTGAATTATTTACTTTAATCACACAGTAGATAGATTTCAATTCAAAATTGTAAAAGTGATTTCTGTCATGGAAGTACAAATGTTTTCAAATTGTAAATGTGACAATTCAAATGGTGTTTCTGTAAATGTCAGATGCATGAAAACCCTGCATGAGGTTGAGTCAATCATTATTCAAATTGTATAAAATGCCGCTGATGAAGGTTTTTTGACATTGATGAGTTTTCACTCAAAAAATGAAAATAATCAAATGTGAAAGGCAAATCAATAACATTGCTCAGAAATATTACTACATTTGAATCAAATTACTTGTCAGTAACATTATTCATTGTGAATTTCACTTCTATCGCCTTTTTGAAACCATTGAAGAAATTTTGAAAATTGCTTTCAAAGTTGATGAAATATCAATTAAAAAAAGGTCGATAAAAAATCAATTCAGTATGTTCGGAAAATGAATATCATTTTTTTATTACTTGATTGATATCTGGTTCTATTAACTTTTTGTTGTACAAATAGAAAAAAATATGACGGAACAGACCTATACTTGATGAAAATCCATCATAACGTTTTCAAAAAAAACACTTTAATGTATTCGGGCGTGACGCCCGAAGATGCAGTTGTGTGGCGAAACACTTGTTGCGGTTTTAAATGTGAGAAAGAAAATGTTATTTCTATGGAAACCAACAAATAGGAGTTCTTATTGTACGTTGAAGTATCATTTGTAGATGGATGATACATTCTACTAGAGTTTGTCTCGTTGTTATATTTCTCAGAATTATAAGATTTTACTTTTATGTTGGATGAAGTAGAAAACCAGTAAATGTTTTTCCGTGCCTCAATCTCAGAAAAAAAAAATTATAGCCACAGAAATATATCTGTAACTTGAATCATAAACAAAATGTGAGATTATGAAGGATTTAGCACCTGAAACACTCTATATTTTGTTATTTTTCTTTATACCTAATTTTTTCTTTCATCTTTTGACTATTTTCTTATTATTCTTCTGTTCTATTTCCCCCTATTTAAGATAAAATCTGTTGAAAATAATTCACCTAAATCGTTATTTGCAACTTTCTTTGGACCGGTTCATGGAGGAACAGAAACAGTTCACGACTGTTATCTGAACATTTTATGTAATGTCTCATATATTATTACCTCATATTATATCCTCAGTTACATTTATTATTTGTTGAAATGGTTAATAAATAATACAAGTATTATTATTAAATATCTAACATAACTAACGAGTCTCCATATCCAGGCAACTGTTCATATGTTCTGATCCAAATCATGACCCGTCTTTGCAACTGAAACTTTTTTTTGCAAATATTTCAGTAGAAATGAGCAATTTGTTGATGAGTGTCATTCCTACACTTATAAAAGTACCTCTGCACACTGTGGCCTGAAGAGTAAAATTTTTGAACCACCTGTATTGAAATTGCAAAAACTACACCTCACTTCACAAAGTTTGTGAAGATCAAATCGTGAGGTGTAGTTTTGTAAATTACTATGGATCTTCATCAAGTAACGGCCGAATCTTTCAGAAAAAAGGAAGTATTGAAATTGGTTTCAATGCTGAGGCAACGTTTTGAATCTTTTTGATTTGCCCTAGAGCAATATTGTAAAATAATATGTCTTTAGGCTGAATCTCAAGCTCACTGTGATATTAAACTAAACAAAAATAGACTAGTATTTGTTGTTGGTATTTCAATTTGAACATCAGTTTGTCTTTAACTTCAAAATATAAAGAAAGATTGTAGTTATTGATTTTTTTGGTTTGTCAGTTTCTGAATTTTGTAATTTTTTTCAAATGAAGAATATTTTTGTCGAGTTTTTACAAGCAAATTTCAATATTTGTAATTATTGTTGAATGTTTTTATATTACCAAAAATTTTTTTATTATTAAATGACTCTTTGTACTTGTTTCATTTAATTTCAAAATCATATTACAAGTACAGACAATAATATTGAAACATCAGCTAATAGATTAGATCCACTATTAATGGAAGAACTATTAAAAGACAAATCTCTTGTTGTTTTTCCAATAAGCTTTTTTTAATGAATAACTGAACATCAAATTAAAAAAATAATTATTACGCTTCAAATTATTCAAAGTTTACAAATCACACAGTCTTCACTATAACTATTATTTCAATGGTATGATGTGGTTAAGCATTTCCCAGGCTTTTTTGCTCAGTCCATATCTGAATCAATTCCTTTGGATCGCCATATCCATGGGTAGCTACGGTATACTTGAAGCCAAACTTATCATAACTCTTTTTGTAAAAGTGAAACTCATCACAGTAGTAGGGCTCGATTTTGGCCTTGTATGCTACTAATCCCAAATAAATGTCATCGAACCTGAAGTGTTTGGTGTAAAAGCTACTGTAATGCATATCGATCAAGGCACCTCTCGAAAGTACATAAGCTCCAGCTGTCACATAAGGGGGCCACATGTGGTAGGGATATTCACTCAAAGAAACATACCATTTACTAGTGAAATGTCTGTGTGGGGAGGATATGAAGACATACCCAGCATATAATCGGACAGTATCTTCAAGCTCGAAGTCAACCTGCTTTGGTCTTCTATTCTTCAATAACATTTGGATATGGCTCATAGGCTCTTTCAAATACTTTGGGTAGTTCGTGGGATAACGTATGAATCGCAGTACATTTTTCGTCGAAATGTAGTAATCATCATCCACAAACATATAGAATTTGGAATTGTGGCAGTGCTGTACGGCCCACTGAAGACCCATCATCGTCTTATATGTATTATTGAAATATGAATCGATGAAGTTTCCTTGAACGATATCATCGTACTTGTGAGACTCTTTGTCAAGGGATTCTTGTAGATGATTCGAGAAACCAGTCCCCACTAAAAACACAGTTCTTATTTCTACATCTGAGAATCTATGCTCGTATCCCCAAGTACTTCGAATAGCATTTCTTCTATCAAGATGGTCTGGACTAGACTTAACTATATATACTAATCTTAGGTTTTGTACTTTGGAACATTTTTGAAGACAGGGTTTGTTGAATTTGAACTGATAGCTATTGATTGGTGCTACTTCTGGGGTTACATTGTTTTTTAGCTTTTCTACAAACGGTTCTATGTCTCCATCGTAAGGATAGTGGAAATCGTCGTAGAAATCTCTTTCAAATAAGTGGTGGAATACTCCTGATAAATACAGAAAGCAAATCAGTAGTAATAAAAATAAATAACGTTTTATTCTTCTGGAAAGGATCATTTTATATCATTTTCAGTGTGGCAAAGATTGCCACTAGTTTCAACTGAACTACATCAATATATCCGATTATGATCAGATAATCTAATTATAAAAATCTTTGAAAACTGATTTTCAAATTCAAAACTTAGGCTATGTTTATATTTCCGATAGTATTCTGGTCACAGAGTGATCCTGTTATAAAATTTCTTGACATGGAACACTTAGAACTAAAAAGTTTCAAAACTAACTTCTGCAGACAGCAAATTTCTGACGTCTTGTATACTTTGCACTTTCTGGTCATCAGCACATTTCAGTGAAATATAATCTAATCGATAGCTGAGGAACCTGAAATGTTAGCATCCAAATGTATCCTTTGAAATGATATAATTGTTACAGGTATAAGGAATTTTTCTTATATTGAGAGCGAACGCTCAAAGTTTGTTATTGTTTTATTTTAGAAAATATGTCTGAATTACATGATCAAAGTCGCCTACAAAACCCATCGTATAGTGAAATTTGTGTTGCAGTTTTGTAAATTAGTCAAAATCTCCCAATAAAGTGTTATTGAAAACGTTCATCATGGATTTTCATAAAGAATTGACCATTTCCTTCACATACTTCTTGAAAAAGTTTTTTCGTGACGTTATTACTTGTTTGTCAATGAAAACCCCGTCGGTTCGAATACCGGTGTTGTATGGTGGTTCGCCAGAAACCGAGAAATCGGTTTATCTATGTATTTGACAGACTACCTGATTGGACAGTGCTGCCACCTCTTTTACTCCAAAGAAAACAAAACTCTTTAGACCGTTGTATGACTATTCCAATTTGTTTATAAAATATGTTCATTTAATAAATTCGAATATCTGTGACACCGATATTGTTAACGTTAACAAAAATATATAACGTGTCTCAGCTGCGTAAGTAATATCTGTTCGAAGTACTAACTTATAAATGATCGCGAATATGCGAAGCATTCGGCCATGTTTACAGTATCGAAAGTAGGCTGTGCGTTTATTTGTACTTTTTGAGTGAAAAGCCTTTGTTTCCGATTGTTCAAGAAGGCCGTGAGGTGTCTGACTCAAGAATGGACACATCAGACAGGGGTGAGTCGATATTTGTACTAGATATCGCGTCTTAATTGAATAAGTATTCACAGCAAAGGGCAATGGCAAAGTCAGGGTCAACTTATTTGGTTCAGTGACCGCATTTTCCTAACAAATTTTTATTTGTGGAAGGCCTTTCGCATTGGTTTTTCGCGGTTTTACACCAAAGAAAGCAAAAATATCTTAGGATAGTTGAAATGTAAAAGCAGTCAGGCATAAACTTTTATTTGTGAGGCCTACACCCAAGCCCATGTCAAGTTAGAATGTGTTAACCTACTTAGCGCTGTAGTGGCTGATGGACATTGGTCAATGTTTAATGTTTTGTAATTTACAATTTTGTGTGGGTAGTTGAACATTGTTCTCGTATTTTGAAAGTGTTTTGGCTTCTTGTTTTGTGACTACTTAGTAATACCGAAATATGTGACACAATTTTATTTCAGAATATTTTGTTTAAACAGAAACTAGATCACCTGAACAATTATCAATTGTGTTTTAGTTATTACCCACACGCTGAAAGTTGTGGTTTACATTTATGGTTTAAATCTATATTCGAGTTTTCAACTAATTTACACCTGATCGTTACACTGCCAAAAATGTTCTTTAAACGTGTTACACGAAGAAAAAGTATTTCTTGGATGTGATTGTAAAATATTTACTGTTATTTACAGAGAACAACTGAAATTAAAGATAAATTTAATTTTTTCAAATCCTTCTTCAATCTTGTTATTCACTTCTATTCAATTTGGGAGTAATATATTTTATCAACCCGACCACAGAAATATGTTACCGAGCGTATCTGATATAAATGAAAAAAAGAGGTGAATTAAGTAGTGGACATAACACTCAAAAATGGGGCAAAACCGCGGACACGTGTTTCTGGCTATTGACCTCGTCAGCGCGGTGCAGCCAAGTGCGAGGATGGGCAATCATTGTTTACTGAAATGTACATATATGCACGGGGTCACCAACAGGAGCCAACCGAACATTTGTGGTACCGGTTAGGAGACCTATCATGTACAGGCAACAACCAACCTGACCCCGTAGGCAGCTATAGCTACCTGCGTGACATTTTTTTAAGGAAAAAACACAAGCACTAGAGAAAAATCCTCGAGGCACCTGTGCGAAAGTAGCGATTCACATTGGATTTGAATCGCTGGAGATTAAATCCATTTGGTACTGTTGCGCCACTTTCCGTGAATAATCTACTTTGAATGGAATAAAACTAACCAAGTCTTAGATTAAAATCCATTTTTCAGAATTGAAATGAAATATGAGATAGAAAAAGAGTCATAAGACGAAGGCGCAGAAATTTCTGAGTTAGACTAAATAACAGACAGAAGCCATTAAGGTATGCAATTGGTGGTACTAATGACAATGATTGGCGAGAAAGGTCACGAAAACTACTCATAATGACTCACTTGAAGTCGAATTTGTACTTGACTCAGGATCAGGAAGTGAAGCCGATATATTTTGCGTATATCCAGCATGAAAAAAATCATTGCTTGAGTCCAACAAACAAATAATGTGTCAGGTGTATGCAATCTGAAAGGCGAATAACAAAACTCCAGAGAGAATATTGATTCATGTAGATTGGAAGAGAATTTTGAACCATTGGTAGTTGTATATCACTAAATTTGATAAAAATAATTTTCACTATATAGAGAAAATGTTTCTTTTTTTCATAAATAAACTACCCAGGACAAAGTTCGAATATCGCGTTTCACACATCGTTTTCCGACGGCTTTGACGCTTGAAGTACTCCGAACCAGCCATCCAAAACTCACGACAAAATGCTTTGTTGATAGCAAAAAATTGCCGGTGGTTCACCTTGAAACGAGGAGTGCCGTCACGCTTCACTGGCTGTTGTTTTAAAAATTTCCGCGTACTCATCCACTTTAAATACAGGGTGGTTCTGTTGGAGGGTGAAAGCGAGTCGACGTGTCTATTTTACATTTTTTACTGAAACGGTTCAGGAGGGTGAAAGCGAGTCGACGTGTCTATTTTACATTTTTTACTGAAACGGTTCACATTGCGAATATTGTCAGTTTCATAGTTTTTTAGCTATCCAGCTGAATTAAAAGTAATGCCTTTTTAATTAACACGCTTTTATTAGCTTCACCTGTATGTATGTATGTTTGTTTGTTTGCTTGTAACTCCCAAGGTGCTATACGTGACCTTGATATAATTCGAACTCACTTCACATGTAGTTCTTCATTTGAAAAAAGTAATTTTTTTTATTAACACGCGCGCCTGCTGCCTCATTTGTAACTCTCATTTGCGCGCCTGCTGCCTTGGGCTTAGTAGCTGATTTTCAGGCTCTCTCTCCGGAATAGGAAAATATCAATGGTTATTTTTCTAAACAATATACGGCTGATTGATCCCAAAGTTTAGATAAAATAAATATTTAGCAAANCGTTAGTTCATTTATAATGATATCAAGAAACGATATGTACACTGACATGCCAGAATGGACCTCAGCTTCGCAGCTTACAGCACATCCATGTATTCCGCTTGAAGTTTGCGAGCTAAGGGTAAAGTTACTCCAAGTACCTCAGCCAACACTACTACAATAATTAAAAACTCGACAGAATAGAGCGCAGGACAGCAAATGCATTACTGCCTCTGCCTTCCGGTGAACTAGCAATGGCGTCGAGGACAGTGGGGAGTGCATGAAGCTGTTCCATGAACGTCAACATAGCTTCGTGCCTTTCTATCCATATTGGTTCACACTGTTTTTTCAAACCACTATTTTTCTGGCTTGAAGTCATGATTTTTTCTCATCTCTTCTTCCAAAGCTTCAAATCTTGCAGCGGAGTCATGAACAAATTTTGCCAGGGTAGATATAACTCCCATGACATTTCTGATGCTAGCAACAGAACAAGCTTTGGTTATAGGTAAGTGTAGCCTATGGTTGGCACAGTGGCTGTAGATTACAAGGGGCTGATTCTGGTAAATGCGGGCTTGCACACCCTTAAATGTTCCATCATATTGGAGGATCCATCAAATGCTTGTCCTCTGCAATTAGCCAAATCAAAGCCAGTCTTACCTAGCTCTTGTAAAATTGTGTGAGCTAAATTTTCACCACTGAGACCCACCACATCCACACACTTGATAAAATCTTCTTCAATCTTGTATTTCTTAGTGTTGAAATACCTTATGCAAATTGTAAGTTGTTTTTTAACAGACAAATATGTGGTCTCATCTGCCTTTATTCTGAAAAACGTAGACTCTTATTTCATTTACAATATTGTCAGTGATAACTTCGCCACAACATTCTATAATTTCATTCCGCGTGGTTTTGCTGATGTAACTGGCATTCCTTCCGCAATTTCTCGTATGTGAGGCTAGAACGTCACCCCAGCGTCAACTCTGAATTTGAGCAGTGCTCTGAAATTTCCTTCGCTGAAATAGCTCCCAGTTGTCTCTATACCCCCTCTAGATCCTCCTCTGCAACGAGTTACTCATTATTATTCCGTCAGTTGAAACAATTGAACTGGTTGAGCGTCTCTTAGACAAAAACAACAAAAACGTTTTCAATAACTACGTTTTACTGATATTCTAATCCTCAGTATTGACAGATTTGCCGACAGTAATCACATTCAGACGATGAAGTCTCCTACAACTGCAACTCTAAAAAATGTTGTGATCTGAAATATGAGAGGTCAATGATTAAAATAATGATAATACAAGGCCGAAATATTTCGACGATTCAATTTAGAAAACCATTGCCGCATGGCGACTGAACGTCAGGTCTAAAAACCTGAAGAACACGATTAAAGAACCCAGAAACAGAAAATGATTTGTACCAAATAACTTTTTTAACCTTCCAATGCTCACAGGCATGAGTAATTTCAATTGTTGGATATTTCAGAGATAGAGTAATATGTTGATCTAGGAATCAAGGTTGCTTCCTAATTTCAGTTCTGTTCTGACTCTTAGAGAGTTTCGCAAAAAATGGTTGTACACTATTTTGACTTATCAAACGTTTGAGTCTGATAGTCCCGCACGAGTACTTGTGCTTTGACTTTTGACATTTTTTTAATAGCTGATCCATAGCTTTTGAAGTTGATATTTTGAATTAGTCAAGAG